CACTCCTCGTCCAACTGGTCACTCCTCGTCACACTGGTCACTCCTCGTCACACTGATCACTCTTCGTCCAACTGGTCACTCTTCGTCACACTGGTCGCTCCTCGTCCAACTGGTCACTCCTCGTCACACTGATCACTGCTCTTCGCACTGGTCACTCCTCGTTCACACTGGTCACTCCTCGTCACACTGATCACTGCTCTTCGCACTGATCACTCCTCGTCACACTGGTCACTCCTCGTCCAACTGGTCACTCCTCGTCACACTGGTCACTCCTCGTCCAACTGGTCACTCCTCGTCACACTGGTCACTCCTCGTCACAATGATCACTCCTCGTCACAATGATCACTCCTCGTCACACTGGTCACTCCTCGTCACACTGATCACTGCTCTTCGCACTGGTCTCTCCTCGTCACACTGGTCACTCCTCGTCACACTGATCACTGCTCTTCGCACTGATCACTCCTTGTCACACTGGTCACTCCTCGTCACACTGGTCACTCCTCGTCACACTGGTCACTCCTCGTCACACTGGTCCCTGTCTCACAAAAGATCCTCTAGCTTGCCATGCATCCATGTGACCAACCAGTCGTGCACAACCAGCTAATTTGTCTGCCATTTCGTTCTCCAAAACACGTTTTTTCTTTCTGGAGACAATATGAAACAGACGCTAACTACCATGGGCCTCTGAAGCCATGCTTGCCACTCTGCACTTGTCTCACCTGGTCAGTGATTAATATATAGCCACTACATGTATAGCTAGTTGACGAGTCAATGGAAATCTGCAGTGACTGCCTTTGCCTCCATACTCAGATTTAATCTTGTAGTACCAGGCTTGGTTGTTTTAGCGACCTCCATTCGCGTGTGAGCCGCCCTACTCTTCTCCTTCCTCTGTACACAGAGCAATCTGTATAGATAATCTCGTCAGGTTAGCACGAATTCTTATTCGAATTAGTTGTTGAACTTCTGACTCCCGTTTGGGTCACACGAACTTGAAAATTCTGATAGCATTGTATCCACTTTCGCTGTGAACAAAATCTCTTAGAGTGCGCGAAATATCTTAAAAAGCACAAAATCTCTTAAAGTGCACGAGATCTCTTAGAGTGCACAAAATCTCTTAAAGTGCACAAAATCTCGTAAAGTGTACGCTATCTCTCAAAGTGCACGAAATCTCTAGACCGCTCAAAATCTCTTAGAGTGCACGACATCTCTTAGAGTGCATGAAATCTCTTAGAGTGCACGAAATCTCTAGACTGCACGAAATCTCTTAGAGTGCACGAAATCTCGTAAAGTGTACGCTATCTCTCAAAGTGCACGAAATCTCGTAAAGTGTACGCTATCTCTCAAAGTGCACGAAATCTCTAGACTGCACAAAATACTTAGAGTGCACGAAATCTCTTAGAGTGCAATAATTATTTGTCTATGGCATGATACCTCACCCGGTGCTTTTAATGCAGTGGCCTCCAACCTGAGGGGTAGGGGTGGGGGTGGGGTGGCAAGAGCGCCATCTGAGAGGTAGGGAGTGGGGTGCGAAAAACGCCACGTAAGGAGGGAAATGGGGGTTGGGTGGAAAAAGCGCCACCTTAGGGTGTGGTGGTGAGGAGGGGTTGGGAAGAGTGCCACCTAAGAAGTGGGGGGGGGGGGGGGGGGGGTTGATGAAATGGTTTCATGCAGGCGTCAAGAAGTTATAAAATATAGTACATTTCTGTTTGTTATAAATTATTTCATTTTAATCAGTTTAATTATACACAGAATATTTCTAAGCCCATTCACTGAACAAACAAACACCAAGGAGATGTTCTGGCTTTCATAATCAGTTTCCATTTCTCTAGTTAACATTCATGACATAATATCATGTATGAAAGGATACATTCTGACCAAAACGTTTTCCCATACTTTCTGTGTCCTCTGTTACATAATATATTGTCCTCATCTTTGTAATAGCATGTTGTTATGTGAGGGGGAAAGGGAAGAGAAAGGGGGGGCGGTCGGAGTCCTGCCATGTACTCAAGGGGACGTGTGGGTCCTGCCGTGTACTCAAGGGGACGTGGGGGTCCTGCCATGTACTTAAGGGGACGTGGTGGTCCTGCCATGTAATCAAGGTGACGTGGTGGTCCTGCCATGTAATCAAGGTGACGTGGTGGTCCTGCCATGTACTCAAGGTGACGTGGGGGTCCTGCCATGTACTTAAGGGGACGTGGGAGTCCTGCCATGTTCTCAAGGAGACGTGGGAGTCCTGCCATGTACTTAAGGGGACGTGGGGGTCCTGCCATGTACTTAAGGGGACGTGGTGGTCCTGCCATGTACTCAAGGTGACGTGGGGGTCCTGCCATGTACTCAAGGTGACGTGGTGGTCCTACCATGTACTTAAGGGAACGTGGTGGTCCTGCCATGTACTCAAGGTGACGTGGGAGTCCTGCCATGTACTCAAGGTGACGTGGTGGTCCTGCCATGTACTCAAGGTGACGTGGGGGTCCTGCCATGTACTTAAGGGGACGTGGGAGTCCTGCCATGTACTCAAGGTGACGTGGTGGTCCTGCCATGTACTCAAGGTGACGTGGTGGTCCTGCCATGTACTTAAGGGGACGTGGTGGTCCTGCCATGTTCTCAAGGGGACGTGGGAGTCCTGCCATGTACTTAAGGGGACGTGGGGGTCCTGCCATGTACTTAAGGGGACGTGGTGGTCCTGCCATGTACTCAAGGTGACGTGGGAGTCCTGCCATGTACTCAAGGTGACGTGGTGGTCTAGCCATGTACTTAAGGGGACGCGACCAGTAAAGGTTTGGAGATCAATGTTCTAAAAGCTTTTTGATAGAACCTACGGCAGTAAACAATTTAAGGGGAAACAACCATGACCAAACTGCATGGCATCATATTATAGAGTTGTGAACCCTGAATTGACAGCGTTTTAATTGTGCCACACCTGTTTTAAAGTAAAGGACCCTTTTCCACGCCTTTAGGCGTATAGGGCATATAGGGCTAGACCTATATTTTATAGACCAATCGGCACAAGATGGGTGATGTGGTCAGCATCATGCCGGCCAGCCTTTACTTCCCGGGACTGCACCCGACACCCACTCAAGGCTGGTCGATTTGGGAGCCAATGTCTGCTGAAAAAAGTCCGGCTTTGCCAGGGAGGGAATCCACGACCTTTCGATCCGCGGCGCGCGTTTAGCCGCTCTGCCACGGCGACTCCCACACCTGTTTTAGCCCGGCTTATAAATTGTTCTGCGTGGTATGGACAGAGTAGGAGAAACCTCTCCGGTTCGTCGGGTAGCTGAACAGTCCATAATCATCATCATCTAGCACGTTGTCTGTAGAACGCAGCTCTTATAGCAGCCCATCCATATTAATACCATCTGGCAGTCTAAATGCCCGAATTGTCTGTAGTATAACCTGTACCTCATCCTGCTGGTCGACCTCTGCTTCAACTTCCACGAGGCCATGCCGTCCATGAGACCACGCCCTCCACGAGACCACGCCCTCCATGAGACCACGCCCTCCACGAGGCCATGCCGTCCAGTTCTGTTCGGTTTACACCACAGCCATCTATTTTCTGCTGCAGTATTTCAGTGTCTTCGCCAGGACGTTGATAATGGGCTGAAGAATTATCCAATCATAGATAGATGTATCATCATCATCATCATCCCATAACACTATGTGTCGTTAGGTCACCAGTTTCTGTTGACTGACCAGTGAGCTCTCTCCACTTTTGACAGTCGGTTGCGATAAATGTGATGGTTGCATGCCCGAGGCCTGTCCAGTCAGTCAGGTTATGTAACCAGGTCTTTCTTGATGTGAAACTTCTACTCTTTCCCTCTACTGAGCCCTACGTTATTGTTTTTAAAAACCATCCTGCTATCCCAATAGAGACAAAATTACAAATTATAAATACAATATTGATACCGACTTTAGGTTACCAATGTCAGACTTGGACACTGACTAAAGAATACGAAATAAAACTAACCATCTGTGAGATGAGATGTTTGAGAATGGCTGTGAATAAAACCGGAAGAGATCGAGTGAGAAACGATGTGATCACAAGAACTGTTGGAACAACACCCATCGTCAAATTTACTGAGTATCAAAGAATGAAATGGGTTGGTCATATAGTACAAATGAAACCAACGATGTCAGTAGCAAGAGCTTACAACCTGAGACATCAAGAGGCAGGGGAAGACCAAGAAGAACATGGATTGAAGAAGTCATTGAAGCCGTGAGACTGCATAAAATCATGGCATATCAAGCAACTATGCGCACCCTGGCTAGGCTGCCGATTGTCTGATGAGCAGTAACGCCTAGCGGCATAAGCAAACATAATCCGATCATTTTTACAAACCTCAAAAAATGCATTCAGGTGTACATACATCATATGCATTCTTAGCTGTACGAACATCAAATATACTATTGATTGTGCGTACTTGATATACACAGACACCATCTTCCGTAGTCAAATGTGTGAAAGGTGATCTATATGGATATTTAACACACCAACACATTCTCATGTAGTCTCACGTGTAAACTGTGATTTGTGTGGAGATAAACACACCAACACGTTCTCCTGCAGTCATACATATGAAAGGTGATCGATGTGGAGATAAACACACCAACACGCTCTCCTGTAGTAAAACGTGTTAAAGGTGATCGATGTGGAGATAAACACACCAACACATTCTCCTGCAGTCATACATATGAAAGGTGATCGATGTGGAGATAAACACACCAACACGCTCTCCTGTAGTAATACGTGTTAAAGGTGATCGATGTGGAGATAAACACACAAACACATTCTCCTGCAGTCATACTATGGTAGGTGATCTATGTGGAGATAAACACACCAACATGTTCTCCTGTAGTAATGCGTGTTAAAGGTGATAAATTTGGAGATAAATACACCAACACGATCGCCTGTAGCCATAAGTGTGAAAGGTGATTGAAGTCGAGATAAACACTCCGGCACGTTCTCCTGTAGTTATACGAGTGCGGGGAGATCTATGTAAGCATCAAGTATAGTTTACCAGTGACGGTACTGCCGGTTTGGCCAGTGGCATGATAACCAGTGTCACCAAAGAAGCCAAGATTGTCAACAAGAAGAACAAGTAAAACAAAAACCTGTCCAGGACACGCGCCACTTCCTCCCACTGTAGACTGGCGCCCTTATTCTCCTCCTTCGAATTCTCTTTTATTAAAATTTTCTGGAGAAGTTTCATAATGACATCAATCTCGTCCTCTCTCGGCGATGCTCCGCGGCGTCTGCTGGACGGAAGTGACGGAACCTCCATGGAGGGATTTCGGTTGTTGTTCTCCACACTGGTCAGGTTTTCTGTCATCTCCAGGTCCAGCAAGCCGCATCCAGAGTCGTTAGAGATGTGGGCGCAGTTGCCGGCTTGGTAAAGCTTCCGCTTGGGCTGCGACGGGCGGGCGGTGTGTGCGGCGCTGCTGCTGGAGTCTCCGGTCTGGATGTATAACAGCCGGTACCACGTGATGCGTGCTAGGAAAATGGCGCCATATCTGACAAATTTCGGGAGCGGTATGTCTTGGTTGCCGTTGTAGCTGATGTTGGAGACAAGCACGGCCAGCATGACGGACAGCGAGGTGATTCCCATCACCATAGTCAAGTACACACCTGTGCACAAAACAAAGAAAAACATTAAGTAATAATGACAAGCAACCGGTAGGACACACCATCAGGTGTTGGCATCTTCGCCTGTCTCTTGATTGCGATGCACACTCTGTTACCAACAATAACAAGCATGTTGCTTTCACCTGTACTACTCTGCAGTCTACCCAGAACCAAGAAACGTGCACCAGACTTGTGCCATAATTGTGTAACAATGATCTAGGATGGGATTTAGGCCAGAGAGGAACTGATTATCCACTTTCAATACCTCGCGGCATATAATATTTGGAAGCATAATACTACATAACTGCATAATGAAGACTATCAATCCTTCAACAGTTATAGTGTTCCCATGTCCATGTTCCTGTGTCTTTGATACAGCGTATTGAATCACCGCTGGTTGACCCCTGCCTCAACTCTCAGGGACTCTATATTTTATGACAACACGTTAAACATGACTGGCGGTTGATGTGGCTTGGTTATAGTTGTGTCCGAGTGACGTTGCTGTTTATTCAAGCTAGAAGCTTCCTCGTATTCTTTTCGTTCGGTTTTTATATCTTTTATTGATATTCTTGATAGCTTCACAGCAGTTCATTCATCTCACCCACCTCGTTTGTCCCGCCCGCCCAGCACTGCTACTATCTGTTTATGCCCGTCACACCCGTCTTTTTTTGTCTACCATAAGGTTTTTTTTTTTTTTAAATATACTTCTAATATACTTTAATTATTATTTAATTTTTTTTAAAAACTTTATTAAGCTATGTGATTGTGTGTATTTGTGTGGTATTGTTTGATTTATGTATGTGCTTATGAAGGTTCCTAAGTCGCAGCGTTCACGTTTTGTTTCTGTTTTTTTGTCGTTAAGCTTGTTGATATACTTTTAGTTCCGTTTTATATCTTTTCGCTGCTGTTTACAAGTTGTTTTTGACAAGTTGACCAGCCGCTTGCAAGTTGTCCATAAACCAGTTTCTGCAATTAGTTAATGAAATGTGTCAAAGGGTCAAAAATTAGGCACGCAGGTCTGTCTTACATTCGGCCCTTCCAAACTCCCATCTCTCGCACATCAGTGTATTTCATTAACAAAGCATATTATGTTTATGTAATAATATGCATATTATTAATATCAAGTCAAAAACAAAAGCATGTGTGGTAAAATATATGCGCACGCTCGCACGCGCACACACACCTACATACACACGTAAATCCATTCACTCACTTACACACACACACACACATAGCCACCCAATACACACATACATCCATATACATACGAACATGCACACACACACTCAAACACACAGTCACCTACACAGACACACGCTCTAAAACACACACGCATACAACCCAGACACATCATTCTATCGAGAGCCACATTATGACGGTGGTTAGCACTTTTACCTAACGACGCCGGGTCTCATGTTCTAATTGCAATCTGTGGGCAATCCAGAGTTTTAATTTTAACCACTTCAGTTCCTAGAAGCAAGCGAACCGAAAATGGGTACTCTGAAATATCCTGGGAAATAAAGGCGATAGTATTTATTGATCAAATACCTGTCTTGTGCTGGTCTATGGCAAATTGATTCAAACTTTTAGCTAGACGTACAAACGGCAAGATTAAGGTCCTGCGCATGTTTGTGTGTTCCATTAGGTCTCAAGGTCGCCTCTATTTTATATTCCATGTACTGTGTGCACCTCTGCTAGGATGTCACCTCTGCTAGGATGTCACCTCTGCTAGAATGTCACCGAATGCTAGAATGTCACCTCTGCTAGGATGTCACCGAATGCTAGGATGTCACCTCTGCTAGGATGTCACCTCTGCTAGAATGTCACCGAATGCTAGGATGTCACCTCTGCTAGGATGTCACCTCTGCTAGGATGTCACCTCTGCTAGAATGTCACCGAATGCTAGAATGTCACCTCTGCTAGGATGTCACCGAATGCTAGGATGTCACCTCTGCTAAGATGTCACCTCTGCTAGGATGTCACCTCTGCTGGGATGTCACCTCTGCTAGGATGTCACCTCTGCTAGGATGTCACCTCTGCTAGGATGTCACCTCTGCTAGGATGTCACCTCTGCTAAGATGTCACCGAATGCTAGGATGTTACCGAATGCTAATATGTCACCGAATGCTAGGATGTTACCGAATGCTAGGATATCACCCCTGCTAGGATGTCACCGAATGCTAGGATGTCACCGAATGCTAGGATGTCACCGAATGCTAGAATGTCACCGAATGCTAAGATGTCACCGAATGCTAAGATGTCACCGAATGCTAGGATGTCACCGAATGCTAGGATGTCACCGAATGCTAGGATGTCACCGAATGCTAGGATGTTACCGAATGCTAGGATGTTACCGAATGCTAGGATTTCACCGAATGCTAGGGTGTCACCGAATGCTAGGATGTCACCGAATGCTAGGATGTCACTGAATGCTAGGATGTCACCGAATGCTAGGATGTCACCGAATGCTAGGATGTTACCGAATGCTAGGATGTTACCGAATGCTGGGATTTCACCGAATGCTAGGATTTCACCGAATGCTAGGATTTCACCGAATGCTAGGATTTCCCCGAATGCAAGGGTGTCACCGAATGCTAGGATGTCACCGAATGCTAGGATGTCAATGAATGTTAGGATATCACCGAATGCTAGGATGTCACCGAATGCTAGGATGTCACCGAATGCTAGGATGTCACCGAATGCTAGGATGTCACCTCTGCTAGGATGTCACCTCTGCTAGGATGTCACCTCTGCTAGGATGTCAACTCTGCTAGGATGTCACCTCTGCTAGGATGTCACCTCTGCTAGGATGTCACCTCTGCTAGGATGTCAGCTATGCTAGGATGTCACCTCTGCTAGGATGTCACCGAATGCTAGGATGTCACCGAATGCTAGGATGTCACCGAATGCTAGGATGTCACCGAATGCTAGGATGTCACCTCTGCTAGAATGTCACCGAATGCTAGGATGTCACCGAATGCTAGGATGTCACCGAATGCTATGATGTCACAGAATGCTAGGATGTCACCGAATGATAGGATGTCACATCTGCTAGGATGTCACCAAATGCTAGGATGTCACCGAATGCTAATATGTCACCGAATGCTAGGATGTCACCGAATGCTAGGATGTCACCGAATGCTAGGATGTCACCTCTGCTAGGATGTCACCTCTGCTAGGATGTCACCGAATGCTAGGATGTTACCGAATGCTAGGATGTCACCTCAGCTGGGATTTCACCGAATGCTAGAGTGTCATCGAATGCTAGGATGTCACCGAATGCTAGGATGTCACCGAATGCTAGGATGTCACCGAATGCTAGGATGTCACCAAATGCTAGGATGTCACCGAATGCTAGGATGTCACCGAATGCTAGGATGTCACCTCTGCTAGGATGACACCTCTGCTAGGATGTCACCGAATGCTAGGATGTCACCGAATGCTAGGATGTCACCTCTGCTAGGATGTTACCTCTGCTAGGATGTCACCTCTGCTAGGATGTCACCTCTGCTAGGATGTCACCTATGCTAGGATGTCACCGAATGCTAGGATGTCACCGAATGCTAGGATGTCACCTCTGCTAGGATGTCACCTCTGCTAGGATGTCACCTCTGCTAGGATGTCACCTCTGCTAGGATGTCACCTCTGCTAGGATGTCACCGAATGCTAGGATGTCACCGAATGCTAGGATGTCACCGAATGCTAGGATGTCACCGAATGCTAGGATGTCACCTCTGCTAGGATGTCATCGAATGCTAGGATGTCACCGAATGCTAGAATGTCACCGAATGCTATGATGTCACCGAATGCTAGGATGTCACCGAATGCTAGGATGTCACCTCTGCTAGGATGTCACCAAATGCTAGGATGTCACCGAATGCTAGGATGTCACCGAATGCTAGGATGTCACCGAATGCTAGGATGTCACCGAATGCTAGGATGTCACCTCTGCTAAGATGTCACCGAATGCTAGGATGTCACCGAATGCTAGGATGTCATCGAATGCTAGGATGTCATCGAATGCTAGGATATCACCTCTGCTAGGATGTCACCGAATGCTAGGATGTCACCGAATGCTAGGATGTCACCGAATGCTAGGATGTCACAGAATGCTAGGATGTCACCGAATGCTAGGATGTCACCGAATGTTAATATGTCACCGAATGCTAGGATGTCAACGAATGCTAGGATGTCACCGAATGCTAGGATGTCACCGAATGCTAGGATGTCACCGAATGCTAGGATGTCACCTCTGCTAGGATGTCACCTCTGCTAGGATGTCACCGAATGCTAGGATGTCACCGAATGCTAATATATCACCGAATGCTAATAAATCACCGAATGCTAGGATGTCACCGAATGCTAGGATGTCACCTCTGCTAGGATGTCACGTCTGCTAGGATGTCACCGAATGCTAGGATGTCACCTCTGCTAGGATGTCACCTCTGCTAGGATGTCACCGCATGGTAGGATGTCACCTCTGCTAGGATGTCACCGAATGCTAGGATGTCACCGAATGCTAGGATGTCACCGAATGCTAGGATGTCACCTCTGCTAGTATGTCACCTCTGCTAGGATGTCACCTCTGCTAGGATGTCACCTCTGCTAGGATGTCACCTCTGCTAGGATGTCACCTCTGCTAGGATGACACCTCTGCTAGGATGTCACCTCTGCTAGGATGTCACCTCTGCTAGGATGTCACCGAATGCTAGGATGTCACCGAATGCTAGGATGTCACCGAATGCTAGGATGTCACCGAATGCTAGGATGTCACCGAATGCTAGGATGTCACCTCTGCTAGGATGTCACCAAATGCTAGGATGTCACCGAATGCTAGGATGAACGAACGAACGAACAAACTTTATTTTCAAAGGGTCACAAATTGGGCACGCAGGCCCGTCTGACATTCGGCCCTTCTAAGTACTCATTTTCAGAGTACTAATATATGTTATCAATAATGCATGTTATGGATTTAAAAAGAAATATATAATGCATACACACAT